GAACTCAGATAAAATATGTGTACCGCAAAAGAGAACAGGGAGTAACAATGGCATTTCAGCAAGCACTTGCTCAGAGCCACCTGCTAAACCTGTTCTTCTGCCTTGGTGATTAGTGCCCGCCTGGCTTCCTCCTGATGCTACAACCTGTTGCTCCAATAGCTTTAGATTAATAAAGAGGCTCCAAAGACATACTTTGCTGGCCTCGGGACTTTGACCTTTTCTATTCTCAGCAGAGAACTCTTTGCTTAGCATTAGTGAAGCAAAACAATCACAGCAGAATTAATGAATCATTATTTCCTTCCCACTTGGCAAAGCTGGATGGTGTCTACTGCCACCCAGTAGCCATCACGTGGACAAGTTTATTGTAGTCCTGGGTTTTTTTTTTGTTGATTTTGGCCAGGGTCTCATGTGTCCTAGGCTAGCTTTGAATTCTCTCCGTAGCCGAAGATGACCTCAAGGTTGTATCCTCATGCCTCTACCTTTCCAGTGCTCAGGAGAGGCTGGGATTACAGCCTTGGGCCCCCATGCTCAGTTTATGCAGTGCTAGGCATCCAACTCAGGACTTAGTGCATGCTAGGCAAGTATTCTACCAACGGAGCTACACCCCCAGTTTACCTTAGTCTCAGTACGCATGTTTCCTGGTCTGGGCGGAGAAGCCTTGTCTCAAGCCTTGTCCATAGCCTTGAGCAGCAGGATCTGCATCGGGTTATGTTTTCCTGTAGGTCAGAGCGGACTAAAGTTTTCCAGTCTCAATCCAACCAAAGCTGTTTATACCGACCCAGCAGTTTCCTCAGTTGGCACTCTATGTTCTACTGTGGTTTTATTTTCTTTTGTTTTTGACTCAGAGTCTCAGTATATGACCCTTGCTTGGCCTGGAACTCACTATATAGCCCATGCTGGCCTTGAGCCTGTGACAATCCTCCTGTCTCTGCCTCTTGAGTTCTAGAATTGCATGTGTGCACTACCAAACCTAGCTCCTATGATACTATTATTTTCACTTAGGAAGATTAAGTTTTGCTTTCTGAGTCCATTTCATAGCTGCAAATGCAGTTCAAAATGAGAAACTGGGAATGGGAGACAAACTGGTGTGCTATTCCCCAGTGAAGACTCAGCAAACCAGTCAGTACCCCATGGTCTGGAGCATGGCTTGGAGTGCACAGGAAAGCCTGCCATTCAGCCCCTTCTCTGAACTTCTCTGAAGTCTGAGAATAGTGGTTCTGAAGAGTGCCTAACAGACAGAGGAGTTAGTAGCCAATGAAGGCTGCAGAGCAAAGCTATGATCTCTAATTACAAAGAAGAGGAAAAAAAATGCCTGAGTTCCACAATCAATCTTCTGTGTGGCCCTGGAGAGACCTGTAAGGGTTCCTGGATATAATATCAAAATACCTGGGTTGTTGGTGCCTTTGTTTGTTTTTGTATTGTGGTCTTTTTGAGACAGGGTCTCCCTGTAGCCCTAGTTGACATGGAACTCATTATGTAGGCCAGGCTAGCCTTTAACTCAGAGATCCACCTGCCTCTGCCTCCTGAGTGCTGGGATTAAAGGTGTGCACCACCACATCTGGCTTTTATTTTTGCTTTTAAAAAATATTTATTGGTGGGGGAGGCTGGACAGTTAGTTCAGTGGTGAAGGCTGCTCCTGCAGAAGACCCAGGTTTGAGTCCCAGCACCAATATGGCAGCTAACAACTATCCGTAACTTCAGTTTCAAGGGAATCTGACGCCCTCTTCTGACCTCCATGGGTATTGCATGGCACAGGTGCACTCACATACATGCAGGCAAACATGCATACACGCCTTTAATCCAGCACTTGGGAGGCAGAGGCAGGTGGATCTCTGTGAGTTCAAGGCCAGCCTGGTTTACATAGTGAGTTCCAGGACAGCTGGGGCTACAGGGAGACCCTGTCTCAAAAAGACCAAAAAAAAAATCCAAACCAAAACAAACATATTGTCTCAGAGAAGAAGAATGTAAAATCCATATAAATAACATTCTGTTACAATAGCTACGTGCAGAAATAATAAGAAAATATACGTCTTCCTAACATACACAATAATTACATCTCTTCTGAGGGAAACATTCTGTAACTTCGGAAATAAAGACTTCTCATGCCAGGCATGGTAGCGCACATCTTTAGTCCCAGCACTCGGGAGGCAGAGGCAGGCGGATCTCTGTGAGTTCAAGGCCAGCCTGGTCTACATAGTGAGTTCCAGGACAGCTGGGGCTACAGGGAGACCCTGTCTCAAAAAGACCATATATATATATATATATATATATATATATTCGGGGCAGGGGTGTATATGCCACAGTGGGTGTGTGGAGGCCAGAGGGCAACTTGTGGGAGTCAATTCTCTCCTTCTACCATGTGGATCCCTGGGATCTAACTCAGGCCATCAGACTTGGAAGCAAGCATCTCTACCTGTTGAGCCATTTCACTGGCTGAGTTTCTTTTTCTTGATGAAGATGTGTTATTATAGCTCGAAATCATATAATTCATTACTCTTTGTTTAAATGTTTATCTCTCACACATAACTTGATGACCAAACAAAAAAAAATAAAGAAAATGTTATAATTGGGGCTGGAGAGATGGCTCAGTGGTTAAGAGCACTGACTGCTCTTGCAGAGGACCCGAGTTCGATTCTCAGCACCGACATGACAATTATGAACCGTCTTCAACTCCAGTTCCAGGGGAATCTGAAGCCCTCTTCTGACCTCCAAGGCACTGCATGACACAGGTGCACTCACAGTCAGGCAATATACTCATACACATAAAATAAAAAAAAAAATTTAAAAAAGTTATATTAATTTTCCTGCTGTCATTGACCAACACAGAACTTGAACACCAAGTAGATGCTAAGTGATGGTTACTGAACAGACAATGAATAATTGAGTATTATTTATTGTGCTTTATAATTTATTTTGGCTTTTTTGAGACAGGATCTCATGATGTAGCTTTGGCTGGACTGGAACTTGCTATGTAGACCAAACTGGGTTTGAAGTTGGGGCAATCCTCCTGCCTCTGCCTCCTGAGTGCTTGGATTGTTGCCTTGGGTCACCACACCAGGCACTACATTGTGTAGTTTTAGCTTTGGGGAAGAATAGGGAAGGTATAGGTTAATAAGGAATTGAGAACCCAAGTCCTCTGGTGGTGACGGTGGAAATTTCTACCTTAACCTGGCATCACCTTTGAATTGGGCTTTGCAAACTGGGTTACGTATGACCAGTGACCAATAGCTTTTCTGTACTTTGACAGGAAACTCCTCCAAGGTTTGGATACTCCTTTCTCACTTCCTGAAGTTCAACTTAGAAGGCCAGTTTGAAGTTTGAGAGAAAAAGCCTCTCTGTGGGCAAAGTACTTCTATCAGACTCCTTCCATGTAACAACTATCATTTGTGGTAGCCTAAGTATGTATAGACATTGCACTAAACATCATACAAACCTTTTTTTTTTCCAGTCTTTTTGAGACAAGGTCTCCCTGTAGCCCCAGCTGTCCTGGAACTCAACTATGTAGACCAGGCTGGCCTTGAACTCACAGAGATCCGCCTGCCTCTGCCTCCGGAGTACTGGGATTAAAGGTGTGCGCCATCACGCCCAGCTCATACAAACCCTTTTACATTTGATTCTTCCTTAAGCCCAACAAGTAAGAATTATTACCTGTACATTTTAGATGAAGGAATTGAGACTAGGTAAGAGTAACTCAGTTAGGAAGCTGTGAGATGAGGCTTGAAACTGGGAACTCTATTACCTTCTTGAGTTAAGTATATTCAAAAAAGATGCTATAAAAAGCAGCTTCCACTTGGCTTTATTCCTTGAAGAAATATTATTTCTCAGTTGTCTCCTAAGTTTTCTTTGTCTTATTTACTTATTTATTTATTTAGCCCTGACTGGCCTGGAACTCACTATGTAGATCATATCGGCCTCCAACTCTAAAGAGATCTTGCCTCAGCTTCTGGAGGACTGGGATTAAAGGTGAGTGCTACCTACCATATCCGGCTCTCCATCTTTATTTTTAAATTTTGTGTATGATTGTATAGCCTGCACGTATATAAGTGCACCTGTGTTGTGCAATGTCAGCGGAGGTCCGAAGAAGGCATCAAATTCCCCTGGAACTGGAGTTACAGATGGTTCTTAGCTGTCATGTGGGTGCTGGGATTCGAACCTGGGCCCTCTGTAAGAGTAGCTAGTGCTCTTAACTGCTGAGCCATCATCTCTCCAGTCCCAGGCTCTCCCTCCATCTTTAAAGTTGAGCAGCACCCTTTCCCAGCTTCATTGTACCACAGTAGTACTTTGGGACAGCTACTGCATAGTGATTTGATGTTTTACCTTACTTCTAGTCAAGTCTGTGAGAATAAGGATTTTTATCTGTTTGTATTCTGCTGTTTCTCAGTATTTATACCAGTGCGAAGCACACACTATTATCTACTTTTTGGAACATTTCTGCAAAGAATCAAATCTCACATTTCTGAAAGCTTATTCAACGATCAAGGGTAAATAATAGGGGTGGAGAGATGGCTCAGTGGTTGAGTACTGACTGCTGTTGCAGAGGACCTGGGTTCAATTCCCAGCACCCACATGGTAGCTAACAACTTTCCGTAACTCCAGTTCCAGGGGATTCGATGCTCTCTTTCGACCTCCACGGGGATTGCATGACATGGTGTCTTACATACATGCAGACAATACACTCATATACATAAAATAAAAATAATAAAGCCGGTGTAGTGGCTGGCACACGCCTTCAGTGTGGATCTCTGTGAGTTCAAGGCCAGCCTGGTCTACATAGTGAATTCCAGGCCAGGTGGGGCTATAGGGAGACGCTGTCTCAGAAAGATCAATCAATAAATAAATAGATAAGTAGATAAATAACAAGATAGCTAAGTAGATAAATAATAAACTATTTAAAAAAAAAAATCTAACCAAACAAAGAGTGCGTGATCGCGGACTGAGCCTCGTAGGGACCCATCGCACATTTCCGGCCCCACCCTTCACTAGTCTGGAGCCGAGAAGCAAAAGACCCGCCCCCTCCGGGAGAATGCGCCGCTGAAGTCGTCGCGCTGCTTCTTTCGTCATAACTGCGCCGGGCGCAGGCTATGACGCTGTTTCCCGGCGGCGTGTAACCTAGTAGTCAACGGCCTGCGGAGCAACATGCCCAAGTGAGTGTGGGCCCGAAACCTGGCGGGTTCGTGGGGTTATCGGGTAGCGGTGCGGGCGGTGGCCGCTGCTTCTCGGAGCTACGAGGGGGAGGGGAGCGCCTCGCGGGGCGGGGTGCGAAGCGGGCACTCCGGCCCCGAGACCGAGGGAGTCCAGCGGAGCCGCCGGGAGCTGTGGCCGCCGGGCGAAGGGCAGGGCTGGTGTCGCTGCACAGGTTAACGGTCGGCGTGTTCTCCTTTTTCAGGTTTTATTGTGACTACTGCGATACCTACCTTACCCATGACTCCGTAAGTGGCGCATCTTTACGTAGTTTAAAAAGCCTTGTATGCAATAAGATTTTTTATTTTTATAGGTGCAGGTATATAGCCTGCTTAAGTTTTACGTCTGTCGTTTGGAGAAAATAATTGGGAACGTGTATTTTTTTTTTCTTCCCTTCTTGTGAGGGTTTTTTAAATTTGAAGGTATTTGCAAGCAGTGCTTTTTTTTTTTTTTTCCTGGAGATCAAGACTAAAGCTTTGGCAAGTTTGAAGATGATAACATTTAACAGAAGACAAAACTAGCCCAGTGTGGTGGCACGTCCTGTAATCACAGTGTTTGGGAAACTTAAGCCATAAAGATGGTGAATTTCAGACCAGTCTGAGGTGCACATGGAGGTCTTGCTGAAATAAAGCAAACAGCCCCCTTCACCCCTAAACCAGGACTGTGCCCCTATGACTCTAATTATGTCATATTAGTCAGATGTTTTGTTAAATGGAAAGAAATGCATTGATCTGAAACAGGCTGTGTTTCAGATGTTTTACATGGATCATTTTACTTAGTGTTCAACTCCACTTTACTGAGGAAGAACTTGAATCGGAGTGACTGTCTCCATATCTGAGAAAAATATGGTATAGACCTGGAAGGGAATCCTACCCAATCCAATTCTAGAAGAGTTTTTTTTTGAGACAGGGTCTCCCTGTAGCTCCAGCTGGCTGGGAACTCACTATGTAGACCAGGCTGGCCTCGAACTCACGGAGCTCCACCTGCCTCTGCCTCCCGAGTGCTGGGATTAAAGGTGTGCACCCCACACTTGGCTTTTTGTTTTGTTTTGTTTTTTTTGAGACAGTGTCTCCCAGACCCACACTTGCTATGTAGACCAGGCCAGACTCTCATAGTGATCTGCCTGCCTCTGCTTCTGGAGTACTAGGACTGAAAGCCACACCTGGCTTTTAACTCTTGGTAAGAGACACCAAATTACAAGTTCGAGGTCAGTCTGACCAGACTGAAAAATTGTAGCTCTCCTTTGCAGTTTCTGCAAGAACCTAATTAATTGTTGATGACCTTAAATAGTAACTGGAAATGCCTAGTTAGTGGTTTCTCTGTTATCACTTTATTTAAAATTGTCAAAGGGAGGCCAAGGGTGGTGGCACATGCTTTTAATCCCAGCACTTGAGAGGCAGAGGCAGGTGGATCTCTAAGAAATTTTCAAGTAGGATGCAGCTGAGTGGTCAACTGCTATCCCAGCACTTGACAGGGACACAGGAATACTGCTGTGAGTTTGAAGCTACTGGGAGACCCTGCTTCAAAAGCCAAACCAAACTCTCCAGCACAACAGAAATTGGTATTATGGTTTTAAATGTTTCTGTGAGTGGAATTTTACATCTGTTATTTATGTGTCATCTTTTCCTCAGAATGTTTTGGCCATTCATCCACGTTACATGTGTTAGTGACTTGTTATTTTTAAGTAATATTCCACTGTACTATATGTAAGTGATTTTTAAAAATTTGTTTATTTATTTTTGGCTTTTTTGAGACAGGGTCTCCCTGCCTCTGATGCCCTGGTGCTGGGATTATAGGTGTGTGCCATCATGCCCAGCCACATATATGATATTTATAAACAGTGCTTATAAAGTATATAGCATGGTGTCTGCCTGTGTTCATTAAATGTTAACTTTAAAAATTGTAGTCCCAGCACTTGGGAGGCAGAGGCAGGCAGATCTCTGTGAGTTCAAGGCTGGCCTGGTCTACATAAATTCCAGGCCAGCTGGGGCTACAGGGAGACCCTGTCTCAAAAAGACCAAAAAAAAAAAGCTTAAGGGACTGGAGGGATGGCTCAGCGGTTAAGAGCACTGGCTACTCTTGCAGAGGACCCAGGTTCAATTTCCAGCACCTACATAGCAGCTAACAACTGTCCTTAACTCTAGTTCCAGGGTATCTGACACCCTCTTTTGACATCTGTGGGCACTGCAAGACACAGGTACACTTATGTACATGGGTAGTACATTCATATATAAAGAAAGATTGTACGTGGGGTTTATTGTGTATCACTTATAGCTGAATAAAACTGCCAAAGGACAAAAGAACTAGTAGACTAGAGACCAATTCTAGATGATTTGTAGAGTTTGTACTCTAGATACATCCTCATTTAAATTTTTTGTTTTTGTGACTAGGTTTCATTATGTAGATGAGGCTGACCCAGCACTCACAGAGATCTACCCACCTCTGCTTGTAGCACTGAAAGCATATGCTACCATACCCAGCTTTAAGTAAAGTATTCTCATTATCGCCTTAGTAAAGTAAGGCTTCTATTTGAAGCTTCTCTTTTGCCATGAAAAAACATCAAGGGCATTAAAATGGCACTGTGATTCAAATCAGAGTCCTCCGTCCATCCCTCCCATCCAGTCTTTGAGACAGGGTCGTCTTATGTTAGGAAACTTTTCTCGAAGTGCCAGATTGTAAATACTTTAGATTTGTAGACTTAGTCTTTATAATGTTAAACTCTGCCATTATAGAGCGAAGTCATAGACAGTCAATGTATCTATTAGGGCTGAGGGTGTAGCCCAGTGGTAGGGCACACACCTAGCATGCATGAGCTGAGTTTCATTCTTAGGACTGCCCGGGGAGAAAAATGGGGCAAAGAGTCTGTGTCTGTTCCAGTTCTCAAGAACAAGTGGTAGGCTCTTGGGCCATAGTTGGCTGCCCCTGGTTTAGGTAATCAATCCAGAGCGGTGTTTATAAGTGTTACTTTAGCATCTCAGCCCAGCGATCCACGGAAAGGCAAAGCATTATAAGCTTCCTACTCTCGAGTTTTGTTCTGTGCCTGATGAGACCTCTTCCTTCACAGCCGTCTGTGAGGAAGACACACTGCAGTGGCAGGAAGCACAAGGAGAATGTGAAGGACTACTACCAGAAGTGGATGGAGGAGCAGGCCCAGAGCCTGATTGACAAGACAAGTATGCCTCGGGCTCTGTTGTTCTGTGTGCTAGCGCCCCCTCTGCAGCCCTGTCTTTGTTTCCACAGCAGCACCTCATTCTGCATGATAGATAGGGGCATTTGCTCATGGTGAAAGGACTGAAGGCCACTGGTTTCCCAGGATTATAGGACAACATTAATGTCAATTATTGAAGTAGAGCATCAGAGGAAGCAGTCAGATGCTAGTTAGGCTGGGATTGAGGTAGAGAAGAATGGAGTTGCCTAGGTTTCTGTTTATGGCAACAAGATTTGCAGAGTTCTGGGACCTGCCCTTCTAGTGATCTACAGTTTTGGGAAGCGTTTTCTGTTCATAATAGGGAAAGCTGGGAGGGTTGTGGGCTTCTCCAGCTATCTGGAGGCTTCATTTTGAGTTTCTTATTTGTAGCCCTGATGAGGAGAGCTAATCCATAAAGCTTAACTGATGTGAAAAACTGTAAATGTATTTGGACCCCATGGGATCTGCCATACTCCTTTCCTTTTGCTAATTAGGAACGTTTTGTGTGTTAGGTCCGGGGTCCTGACAGAAGACTGCATTTTTACTTTACATCATGGGGTGTATTTGAAACATGGCCTTTCCTGAAAATTCATTATACTTAGCCTCATGTAGCACAGGCTGGCCTCCAATTTGCTAGGTAACTGAGGATGGCCTTGAACTCAATCCTACTATGTGAGCCTTCCAAGTGCTGAGATTGTAGACATGAGCCATCATGCCCAGGCTGTTTCGTGTTTTAATTTTGTTTGTGTGTATCTGTGTCTGTGTATATGTGTACATGCATGTAGAGTTGCCAGTATACACACATGCAGAGGCTAGTGTCCTGCTCTAGCACTGAGCCTTATTCCCTTGAGACAGGCTACAGGCTCTGTCCTGAACCTGAAGCTCTCCATTTCTGCTTGGCTGACTGGCCATTGAGCTCCTGGGGTCCTCTGGAAGAGCAGCTAGTGCTCTTAACAGCTTCCTGGTAGCCCCAGCTGGCCTGGAACTGGCCATGTCAGCCAGGCTGGCTGGAGCTAAAGGTGTGGGCCACCATGCCTGGCAATGAATTGCAATTCTAATAGGTAAATATGTCAAAGTGATTTAAAAACTGCCACACCACAATGTAGTAACTTTAGATGACTTGTTAGTGTGAAGTAATTATACTTATTAAAGATCTAAAAGAAAGAAGGTGGTTATTTTTGTGAATGAGTTGTTACATTCTTACTGTTTTTTACTTTCTTATTCTCATCTTAAGCGGCTGCATTTCAACAAGGAAAGATACCTCCAGCTCCCTTCTCTGCTCCTCCTCCTGCAGGGGCCATGATCCCACCTCCCCCCAGTCTCCGTAAGTTTGTAGTTTTTGTGTGAAGGTGTGGAACTGGTCAGATTATCCTTTATTATTAGATTGTTGCATAGCTGGCTTCCAAATACTTGTTGACTGAAGACATAAATACTGATAGAAAATGACTTTGATGGTATAATTTCCTTGTGTATGTGTGTACAAGTGCACGTGTATGTGAAGTCAGAGGTCAGCCTTGCAGCTGTCCACCTTGTGTGTTTTTTTTTTCTTGTCTTTTTTTGAGACAGGGTCTCCCTGTAGCCCCAGTTGGCCTAGAACTCACTATGTAGACCACGCTGGTCTTGAACTCACTGAGATCCTCCTGCCTCTGCCTCCCAAGTGCTGGGATTAAAGGAGTGCATCACCATGCCCAGCTTATTTTTTGAAGCAGGGTCTTACTCTATAGCCCAGGCTTGCCTGGAACTCACCATGTATCCTAGGCTGGCCTAGATCTTCTAAGTAGTGAGTCCCTATCTCAGGACAGAAAGACAGGAAGAATTCATGGTTTGTTTTTCCTAGAGGTGAATGTCCTGGGGATTGAACCCAGGGCCTTGCTAAGTACATCTTGGCCACTCAGCTGCTCTCCAGCCCCAGAGTGTTTTCCTCAAACCTGGGGCATCCAACTTCCTTTTGCATTTTTGTCCAGCCAGGCTTCTTACAGCTTGTAGTCCCACAGTGAAATGTTGTGGCAGGTGATTTAATTAGAGTTTAACTAGTTTGTAAGGTTCTGTTAGTCTAATTGAGAAGAGAAAGTATCAGCTGTAGTCCGTTTTAACCACAGCCTCTCTTGTCTTTTAGCGGGTCCTCCTCGCCCTGGTATGATGCCAGCACCCCACATGGGAGGCCCTCCCATGATGCCAATGATGGGCCCCCCTCCTCCTGGGATGATGCCTGTGGGACCTGGTAAGTTGAAACGTCTTTCCTTTTAGTATGTACCAATAAGTTTTAGTTCACCAGTTAAGTTCAATTTTTTTTCTGTTTTACTGTTATTTACAGTAAATTATTTATTTGCTAAGATTTAAACAACTTACTGAATTTTTGTGAATTTCATACATTTTGATCATATTTCTACCCTCCCTTACTAGCTCCCCACCAAATTTCTGTACTCTAACATACATAACATATGTATATATGTATTAACATGTATATATATATATATATATATATATATATATATATATATATAAAGGCCTGTAGAGTCTAGTTTGTCCCCAAATGCCCTTCAGTGTGGGGTCATCCACTGGAGCCTGGTCAGCCTTCTAAGAGTCTCAGCCTTAACTGAGTCCCCTCTTCCCAGCAGCCTTTGGTTGCCAGTAGTTCCTCAGGTACAGTTGGAGCTTCTTACTCTCTTCCCCATGTCTGTGCTGGGATTTTGTCTGCCTTGGACTTAGTGGGACGTGTGCATGCTGTCACCATTGCTGTGAGTTCTTATGAATAACTGGCCAACTGTCTGGAAAACTTTGCTTGTGGTCATCCACCACCTCTGGCTCTTACACTCTTTCCACCCCTTCTTCTGCAGTGGTCCCTGAGCCTTGGGAGGCAGAAGTTGAGTTTAGATGTCCTTAAGTGGAATTGTTAATTAGCTGTTGAGATTTATTATTACAAGTATTGTAATAGATTTAATTTGGTCAGTCTTTAAGGATAAAAGGAAGAGAAGGGTTTGGTGTATAATACGGTGAGCCTTCTCTGAAAGCAGGGTGAGACTGCTCCCGCCTTCTTGCCCCTCCCTTCTTTCTGTGCCTCATTCTGACTTTGGGCCATTTCTGATGATGGGAAGGTAGATGAGCTTGTTGCACTTTTGGGGTGGAGTTACATTTTCTGTTCCGATTTGGTGCCAAACTGCTTCCTATGGGAGATTTGATCTCGTAGATTAACTAGACCTAATTGGTATAATTAAAAAGCCATAGGCCTAGTAGGGTGGTGGTAGTGTTTTAATTTAGGAAGCAGAAAATCTTTTTTTTGTCCTTTTGAGACAGGGTCTCCCTGTAGCTCCAGCTGGCCTGGAACTCATTATGTAGACCAGGCTGGCCTTGAACTCACAGAGATCCACCAGCCTCTTCCTCCCGAGTGCTGGGATTGAAGGCGGTGCATCACCACACCTGGCAGAATCTTTTGTTTTTTTAAAGTTGGGGTTTCCCTGTAGCCCCAGCTGGCCTGGAACTCTCTATGAAGACCAGGCTGGCCTCTATCTCAGAGATCCACCTGCCTCTGCCTCCTGAGTATTGGAATTAAAGTTGTGTGTCACCATGCCCAGCTTTTTCCCCTTTGTTTTTGGAAAGAGAAAAATCTTAAACATTCTATATTTTTTTTTTGTGCCAGGGTTTGAGCCCAGTGCATTGTACATGCTAACGAGTTCCCCTACGGAGCAGGACACCCTTAGCCTCAAATGGTCCCTTTTTTAAAACAAATCCTTTTTTGCCAGGGCTGGGGTTTGTGCCAAGGGCTTTGCCAATGCTAGGCAAGTGCTCTACCACCAAACTGTGTCCCAGCCCCATTTCATTTTTATTAAGATATACACTAATTTGCTTTTTTGTTTGTTTGTTTGTTTCTTATTTTTGTTGTTTTTTGAGACAGGGTGTCAGGGACTCCCTGTGTAGGCCTGGCTGGCTTGAAATTTACTATGTAGACCAGGCTGGACTTGATCTCACAGAGTTCTGCCTGCTTCTGCCTCCCGAGAGCTGGGATTAAAGGTGTGCACCACCACACCTGGCACAAAATTTTAAGTATTTTAGAGTGTGTGTGAGTGTGTGTGTGTGTGTGTGTGTGTGTGTGTGTATGTATGTACGCACCTACCACTCTGTGTGTGTGTTTATTGTGGCAGTGGGGGTTGGGGGTACTAGAGAACAACTCTTCAGAGTTGATTCTCCTGCCACCTGTGGGACCTGGGAATAAACTCAGGCCGTCAAGCCTCCCTGTGAGCACCCCTGTTGGCTGAACCATCATGCTGTCCCTAATTTGCCATTTGAAAAAAATTTATTTTTGTTTTATGTGTATGTGTGTTTTGCCTGTGTGCATATGTAAATGTGCTATGTATGCACAGTACCCTCAGAAATCAGAGGAAGGCATTGGGTCCCCTGGAACTGGAGTTATGGAGGGTTGTTAGCCTCCATGTGCGTGCTGGGAACTGAACCCAGGTCCTCTGCAAGAGCAGCCAGTGCTCTTGACCACTGAGGTGTCTTTTCATATATTTCATTGGTTACAGCCTCATTTAAAAAAAATTTTTTTTAAATATTATTTTTATTTTTTTGTATAATTTATTTATTTATTTATTTTGGTCTTTTTGAGACAGGGTCTCCCTGTAGCCCCAGCAGTCCTGGAACTTACTATGTAGACCAGGCTGGCCTTGAACTCACAGAGCTCCACCTGCCTCTGCCTGTGCTGGAATTAAAGGCAAGTGTTGCCGCACCCCACTGAATTTGCAAGGTTTATCATACATGGTAACCTTTCCTTTGATTGTGAGTCTGTGATTGGAGCTCCATATATTTTTTCTTATACCAGTAAATTATAACCATAATAATGTATCTACCGACTTCACTTTCATTTTCCTGGAGTAGTTTCAGACATTAAAATGAGGTCTAGTTCCAGTTCTTGTTTTTGGGGAGGGGTTGACCTGGAAATCTAACCCAGAGCCTTAAGCATGCTGAGCAAACAGTGTGGCATCGGGCAACCTCCCCAGCCTGTTCTAGTCCCTTTGGATTATTCTATACATTTGAGCATTGTGAAGGATGACTAGCCTGACCTATCAAGTTTCATGGAAACCATTGTCTTTTCACATATTTCATTGGTTACAGAATAATTGTAATTAGGGCAATAAAAAATGAAATAAATGCCTGCCTCTGTCTCCAGGGCTCTGAGTTCTTTAAAGGCATGGACCACCATGCATGGTCTGCCTTTAACATTCTTAAATTAGCATCGCAAATTAAAATATTTAGTGAAGTTAGAGACTTGATGAGTCTGGGAATGCCCCATCTGAAAGCTTCTGGCCAGGCCTGGTGGCACATGCCTGGAATACTCAGAAGAGGGTTGCTTGAGCCCAGGACTTGAAGCCACGGGAGCAACATTCAGACCCTGCCTCTTTAAGAAAACACAGAGCACATGACAGGGAATGAAAAAGGAGAGGCAGCTTCCAAGGGATGGGAGTGTAGCTCAGTTGATAACAGTGCTTGCTTTGCATGCCTAAAGCCCTGCGTTCAGTCCCCAGCTGCATAAACCCGGTGTGTTGGTATACAGCCACAGTCCCAGAAGGCGAGAGCTGGAAGATCAGCAGTTCAAGACCAGCCAGGGCTACACAGTGAGACCCTGTCTCAAAAAGGAAACAAAAAACAAAAACAAGGGGCTGGAGAGATGCCCAGTGGTTAGAGCACTTGCTGCTCTTATAGAGGACCCAGGTTCAATTCCCAGCACCCACATGGCAGCTAACAACAATCTCTAACTCTAGTTCCAGGGAAATCTGATGCCTTCTTCTGACCTCCACTGGTATTATATGACACTGGTACACTTATATACATCAAGGCAATACACTCATACACATAAAAATAATAAAATATTAAAAACAAAACTCTACAAACCCCAGAAGTTCAAGGATATTTTTAGGCATACAGGAAGTTTGAGGCCAGTCTGGGCTACATGAAACTCTGTCTTTAAAACTAAAAAAGGTAAGATTGTGAGATTATGTTGAAAGAATTGAGTCATCTGTGGTGGTGCATTCCTTTAATCCTAGCACCCTCCAGAGGGAGAGGCAGGCCAGTCTGGTCTACATAGTGAGTTCCTGGCCTGCTGGGGCTATAAGAAGACCTGGTCTAAAGACAGATGGGTGGATGGGTGAATGGGTGGATGATGGATGGATGATGGGTTGATGATGGGTTGCTGGAATAAAGAATTGAGTAATTGGGATTAAGGGCAAGTGGGGGTGTAGTTAACTAAAGTTGAATCATGGTGTACACATGCCTTTTTTTTTTTCTGGAGCAAAACTTTACTGTCAGGTTCTGCTTACTGGACCACAGGTTCTCAGGACACCAGGCTGGACTTGTCTCCTAAAGCATTCAATAATATTAGTCATTAAATAGCAACCCTCATCCCCCAACCAGAGTGTATAGTCGAGGACCATTGTATCATATTGTCCTGTGGGGTCTGTTCCTACAAGGTCTGGTACTCGCATTAGAAGGGGGCCCCTTGATGCAGAGGGTAGGTTAAGGCCACAAAGAAAATGAAGGAACTGGGTGTAGAAGTAGGTGGGCTGGTCCATCAGTGACCATTCAGGAATCTGGCTCGGTCCTTGGGGTGACGACTGGCTGCAGTGCCTGCTGCGCCTGCCAAGCTCCCGCTCTGTGGGTCCAGGTGGGCAGTGGGGTGCCTGCGTGGGAATACATGAGGGTTTATGGTCAGGCTGTGTGTCCATCTGCCCTCTTGCCCTGGTCTGTGCCAGTTCTGGGCCAGCCAGGGAACTCCACTGCATCCTGTGGTCCCCTCACACCGAGGCAGGGGCTGCCTTCATTGGAAGAGCTGAACGTGGCTTGGCCGCAGGGCGGGGCAGCCTATTGGTGGGCCACACCTGCCACCCAGGACGTGGAGGGAAGAGGAGAAGCTGGAGGGAATTCCTCCTCCACGTGCCCGAACAACCACTCCTGCTGTGGGTCAAGCTGCAGTGGTGGCGAAGACACTGCTGCTGTGGCTGGGCCCCCAGGAGGCCCAGGTGCAGAGCCTGGGCAGCTTTGGTGACAGCTTGGCATGTTGGCACAGGCTTGTGGCTGTGGCCAGCCTGGTGAGGAAGCCATCGCCACTGCCCAGCAGACCCAGACCATACAAGGCATTGAGCCAGTGGGCCAGGTCTTCTTGATGGTTCCACATAGGCCTCACTGGAGCAGAAGGGCCATAATGCTCTTGGCCGCAGAGCCAGCCATGCCCACTGCTGTGTCCTCCATGCGAGGGGCAGTGGAGTTACTGGTTCATCCCACAGCTGAGGGGGCAGCAATCACCCAGCTGCAAAGAGATGCCTCCAGAGCCGGGCGATCCTAGAGCTGCTGCCAGGGCCAACCAGTGAGCATATGCTGAAGTTGGATCATGGCAACATTTGATGGGCATCGTGCATTTTTTTTTTTTTGTTTTTTTGTTTTTTTGGTCTTTTTGAGACAGGGTCTCCCTGGTAGCCCCAGCTGTCCTGGAACTCACTATGTAGACCAGGCTGGCCTTGAACTCACAGAGATCCTCCTGCCTCTGCCCCCCAGAGTGCTGGGATTGGACATTGTGCTTTCTATTATTATGCCTGTATCTACCTGAAGACTGTGGTAGGAAACTGAATAAAATGAAAGGGATCCAAGACTTCTGTATAAAATTCCACTGTTGGCAAGTCATCCAAGTTCAGTCTGCTTTAGACCATTCCTGGTCACGTCGTGAAGGTCACTGTTGGAAAGAGCTGACCCCTTGTGAGGGAGCTGGGGGAGAAATTTTTTTGTTTGAGAATGTTGAAGTAATTTACAAATGTGATGACTTTGTTAGGTTTATTCTGTGAATATGTCTGCCAGCATTTTTCAGGGGGGCTACTTTTTAGGTTTCATTGATGTCCCTGTCTTCTTCTAAATGGTGTTTCTTCCTTTCCCCCTTTTTTTGTTCTGTTATGCAGCTCCTGGAATGAGGCCACCCATGGGAGGCCACATGCCCATGATGCCAGGGCCTCCAATGATGAGGCCTCCTGCTCGCCCCATGATGGTGCCCACCCGGCCTGGCATGACTCGACCAGACAGATAAGAGCAGAGGGCTCTGTCAGTTTTGTATCTGTGTTCGGTTTCACCAGGAGGTCATGTGCTGTGTCTGAGTGTTTTCTAGCAGCATGATGAGAAAGCCACCTCCCCTTTCTAGCAAGGGTGTAGTTTTGGAAGGGAGAAGGGGAACACAAAAGTGCTGTTTTCATTTGTATTGTGAAATGTGAAAATAAAATTGTCAGCTTTTAGTTAAAAATGTGTTCCAGTCTTTGAGATGAAACTATTGTGTCCCTCTAGCTCCCTCAATCTCCATCATGCCGTGTCCCTGTGTGTGATTCCTGTGTTAGCTATAGAGTGAATCCTTTTCACCCTCTGTTTAGTAAAATTTTCTTTTTCTTTCAGAGACCAGCTCCTCCGGTAGCCCCAGCTGGCTCTGAACTCTGTGTAGATCAGGCTGGCCTGGATCTCAGAGATCCACCTGCCCTTGCCTGCCTCCTTTTTTAATTGAAAAGAGTTTATTGTGATTGTGCATGCATGCTACAGTGCCGCTGGGCAGGACAGGACAGCTTTTTGGAATCTGTTCTCTTCCACCTTTACTTGGATTCTTGACATTGAACTCGGGTCATGAGGGTTTCGAGCCTTTCTTGCACTGAGTGGTCTTTCTTACACAGTGACCCTCAAGAGCTTCTCCTTTTTCCTCCCTTCACCTCCCTTCTCTTTCCTGCTTTTGTGTTTGCTTGGGATGGAATGCAGCTCCACTCAGACTAGCTGAGTACTCTGCCATGGTGCTCCACTCCCAGTCCAGCCAAATGATGATGCAATTATCAGCATAATTGGTTAATTTTTCATATAAATAATCCTTTGTGGCCAGGCATGGTAGTCCACACCTTTAATCCCAGCACTCAGGAGGCAGAGGCAGGGGGATCTCCCTGAGTTCCAGGCCAGCCTGGTCTACCTAGTGAGTTCCAGGCCAGCTGGGGCTACTGGGAGACCGTGTCTCAAAAAAAAACAAAAACAAAACTGTGAGGTCAGCACAGTTCCAGGTTTTTATGCTGAAGTAGCAAAATGTGTCGTGTTTCCTGTCAACATGGCAAGCATCCCTGAACCTCAACTTCTGCATGGTCCTAGCTCCCCTCGTCTTACCTTTTGTGAGGACTGGAGGTGGGCCTCAGGTATTCCAGGCTGACCTGAAACCCACTTGATAGCTAAGGCCTACTTTTGTTTTGTCTTGTTTTTGGTCTTTTTGAGACAGGGTCTCCCTGTAGCCCCAGCTGACTTGGAACTCACTATGTAGACCAGGCTGGCCTTGAACTCACAGAGATCCGCCTGCCTCTGCCTCCCGAGTGCTGGGATTAAAGGCGTGTGCCACCATGCCCAGCTGAATTAGGTTTTATGTAGTTCTAGACCAGTTGATTTGGAATCTACAGAGGGGAATAAACTAGCACAGACTACCTCAATGTAGATCCTAGTACCCAGTTAGCAAGGGGCTGGAGAGCTTGCTCAGCAGTTAAGAGCACTGGCTGCTCTTGCAGGGGAACTGTGTTCAGTTCCCAGCACCCACATGGCGGCTAACAACCATCTGTAATTCCAGTTCCAGGAAATCCAACCCCTTCTGACTTCCTTGGGCATTGCACACGTGAATGCACTTACATGCAGATAGAACATTCATAAAGTAAAAATAAACATTAAAATTCAGGTCAACAAAATGAACAGATTATTTGCTTTGGCTCCAGCTAGATTAGACCACTGCTTCAATGTCCCCTCAAGTTACGTTTCTTTTTTTTTTTTAAATTTATTTACTTTTGGTCTTTTTTAAACCATGAAGCACTATGATTTTCCCCTTAAAAAGTCCAATAGTTGCAGTAAATATAAGTCACAGGATCTGCCACTCAAGCACATGTCTTTCTTGCAAATTTTAGAAAGACACAGGAATATTTTTCCTAGAACTCCCAGCTCTCTTTCAAAACTAGCTTTTGCAGTTAATGACTTGGAGAATACAGCACAGAAAGCTGCCCAGCCACATTGTTTAGCATCTCTGCTGATCCCTCCAGAACTCCCTCTGTGGCAGTGCTGTCTGGGCGGCCCCTGCTGAAGGCTGCTTTCTCCCAGTGCTGAGGACTGTGAGGACTGACTCACTCCCCGTCTGCTGGCTCCCTGCAAGTTTTGTTTGCATCCTCTGCTTGCTTTTTCTTCACCTTCGGTTCTAGGTTAAGATGAGCAATCTCTTCATTTTTCTCTGTGATATATTTTAGTGAGTTACTCCTAGCCAGGAGCTTCATGTGTCTGTGCTGATTGAGTTTCTTTTTGCATGTCTGGCAAACATTTCAAGGTCTTTGGCAAAAATTTTGCACGGTTGAAAGGTCACCTCCAAAATTGCTGCAACAGTCTGTTTGCTGAACTGTATCTCTTTGTCAGAGGCAACCTTGTTGCAAAGACCGCCAACCCTGTAATGATCTGCTGCCTTTAGCCTCTGCTGGTGAGAGAATTGCTGCTGTTCCTCCTCAGAGCCGTTTGTTAGTGCATGGTGTGGAGGAATTTAGTTTCTCATTGGCTGTCAATCTGGAACTATTTTTTTTTGTATGTGCATGCATACATGTGTGTATTCATGTTTGCGTGAACGTGTGTGTGTGTGTGTGTGCCAGAGGTTGATGTCGGGCATACTCCGTTGCTCTCTGCTTTGTTTAGTGAGTCAGGATCCCAGTGCTCGCTGACTTGGCCAGGTTAGCTAGCAAGCTTGCCCCTGTGATCCTGGCTGCATTCCTGATGCTTGGATTTCGGGCAGCTGCTACACCTGCCTGGCATTTTTGTGGGTGCTAGAGACCAGAATTTCTGTCATGCTTGCACAGCCCCCACTGTATCCACTTTGCCACCTCCTCAGCCATAGAACTACTTTTAGGTCCCAAAGGCCACCCACGCTACTAGACACAAGGCTCCTTCCATCTGCACAGGCATCAGTGGAGAATCATCTTTGCCAGTTACGCATAATTTTTTTGGTACAGAAGTTGCCTTTAAAATGCTGTTATATCACCAGGGTGCAAAAATAGGGTATTTTCAGGGAACTATCTGGAAAAGAGGTCACTGGCACTATTCATGCGCATTATAGTCTTTATATATTAATGTTTTCACATTTGCAATGTAAATTATATTGGTAAATTGTCATGTGCTATTTAAGCTTACCGAGGAGCTGAGTCTCAAAGTAGGATGGAATATCTTCAAAAATTTTTTTTCTCAGGGTCCCCCCCCCCCCCCCCCCCCCCCGTCATGGGTCAGTCTGGCCCCCTGGCTTTAACTGGAAGAGGGAAAACCAGCAAGCAGCTAATGGTATTAAAAAATATTATGTCCTGGGACTGGAGAAATGACTCAGTGGTTAAGAGCACTGGCTGTTCTTGCAGAGGACCTGAGTTCAGTTCCCAGCATCTACACAGCAGCTAGCAACTATCCATAACTCCATTTCCAGGGGATCCAATGACCCCTTCAAACCGCCACAGGCATTGCACATGACACAGGTATACTTATATACATGCAAAACTCTCATTACACATAAAAAAAATGAGCAAAAACCAAACAAAATCCCGTTATGTCCTAAGGCTGGAAATTGCTGCTGTTCCAGAGGACCTGAATTTGGTTTCCGGCACCCATGTCAGGTGGCTCATAACCACCTGTAAATCCAGCTCCAAAGGATCTGACAATAGGCTTTCTCCTGTACCTCTACACATATGGTGCATATACACACATGGTGCAAATACACATACTCAGGATCACATATACATGTGACAGGGTCTCACTATGTGGCCCCAGCTGGCCTGGAATGTGCTATGTAGACCAGCCTGGCCTGAATCTCACAGAGATTCTCCCACTTCTGCTTCCCAAGTGCTAGAATTAAAGGTGTGCGCCACCATGCTCCACTATGTTTTGGAGAGTTTTTTTTTGGTCTTTTTGAGATAGGGTCTCCCTGGAAATCACTCTGTAGATCAGCCTGGCCTCGAACTCACAGAGATCTGCCTGTCTCTGCCTCCTGAGTGCTGTGATTAAAGGCATGCATGCACCACCACGCCTGGCAGAGCTTTTTTTTTGCCCGGCTACATTTCTTTTTAATTTTTATTTTTTTAATTTTATGTGTATGCGTGTATTGGCTGCATGTAGGTAAGTGCACCTGTGTTGTGCAATGCCCGCGGAGGTCAGAAGAGGCTGTCTGATCCCCTGGGACTGGAGTTACAGACAGTTGTTAGCTGCCGTTGGGTGCTGGGATTCAAACCTGGGCCTTCTGCAAGAACAACCAGTGTTCTTAATTGCTGAGCCATCTCTCCAGCCACCATGCCCCGCCCAGCCTCTTATTTTTAATTATGTGTATGTGGGCAGAGGTATGTGCATGTGAGTGCAGCTAGTGCCTGTGGATGCCAGAGGAGGGCATTGGATCTCCTGGAGCTGTAGTTAACAGGTTGTGAGCTGTCTGTTGTGGGTGCTGGGAACCCAATTCCAGTCCTCTGTAAGAGCAGCAAGTGTTCTTAATGGTTGAGCCATCTCCAGCCTGATTCCCAGTCTATTTCTGCTGGATGTTTGTAATTCACCAATTTAGTGTTACCTTTGCACCGTCAATCAGGTTATTGCATTTGGCTCTGATGGATATCGTAAACTAATTTGATGATGCTTTGTTATCTGCTGCTTCTGTCCACTCCTTGCCTCTTTTACTCTTGCATGATGTATACCTAATAAACTGATCCAAAACCCAAAGTACAGGCAGCGACCCTCAGAACCCCTGTGACCCTCAGAACCCCTGTGATCATGGCACTGCACCTAGCCTGCACTCTACCTTGGTGCCTTGCCTGCCCTGCCTGCCAAGGGCCTGGACACCCAGCACAGCCAGGCCCAGTGAGCCACCACCTGTCCTTTCTGCACTGAACCCGCTCTGCCTCTCTGCATAAATCCACAGTCGCGAATGCACAACAGAGAATGACACTGGAACAATGGGAGCCAGTGATTTTGCACAGGAAGCTTTGAGAGATGTTTCCTGTCAGTCTGCCTGAAGTTGGGACAAAATTGAAAACGCAAGATGAGTTTGGTGCTTTAGAGAGTGTGAAAGCTGCCCGGGAACACTGCTCCACCCTTGGAGAGAGAACTGAAGCTAACGAAGCACTTGCAGAAAACCCAGGGCTCCTCAACACATCCTGTTAGGAAGATGGCTGCCTGATCAAGATGACTCTGAGCGACCTTCAAAGCTGGATGAGCCAATGAGCAAAGACACATATGAGAAATACG